AGAGCCTATCATTCGTTGCCTAAGTCGAGGCTGAGTTTCCGCATCAGCCGCCGAAAAGGCCGTTGCTAAGCCACATAAGGAGTGTGTTTTCAGAGCGCCCGCACATCGTCAAAGTGCGTTCAAAACACTGCTGAACTTCGGTATCAACCTCGGCCATGGCGTTTGACGTCTCATCCGTAAGCCGCCTGAGTGGACGGCGGGCGCTGCAGCTTGCCATCGATGGCGATGGGAGCATCGAGGAAATCGCCTCGCTTCTTGCATACGAAGCCGAAGACTTGTCGTCCGAAACCTGTGATAATTGGGTCCCTTGTGATCACCTCACAGCCCTCGATGTTGCAGCATGTTCGGGCCACACCAATGCATTAGGGCGATTATTGGAGGCGGGAGCAGATGCCAATGCTCATACACACCGCGGTGGTAGCTCGGTGCTGGAGCAAGCTGTGGTACAAGGCCAGCTTTCCGCCGTCAAGAAGCTGCTCGAAAGGGGCGCGGACCCTAACCACTTCAACAAAGACGATGTCACGCCTCTGATAGCCGCAACTAAAGCCGGGCATGTCGAAATATGCAAATGCCTCATACATGTGGGAGGAGACATCAGCATCTCGGGCTTGTATCGAAGCAACTCTGCCATTGCAACGGCAGCAGAGATGTCTAATGTCACTTTGCTAGATCTCTATTTGGGCGCCGTCACGCAATTTGCGGCAGGGTTCGACCCAGACAATTTCCAAGTTGCGTTCACTCAAGGGCGGCAGATGGATTCGCAACGGTTGGCTGAAACAGAAACTTTCCTCAATCGCGCTCGAATAGCTATTGAGGATGGTCTGAAGGCCGCAGGTCGGGCCGGCGATATGCTCATTCTCCAGAGATTGCTAGGTGTAGACCTTGATATCAACATTCACGAAACTATCGCTGCTACCGCAGCCGGAGGCCACGTAGATGCGGTGGCAAAGCTTATACAAGCTGCTTCGAATCAGGGTCAACTGCCCACCAAATCTCTGACACGTGCAATGCAGTCTGCAGTGGACGCGGGACATGTCGCTCCAACCAAGCTTCTGCTAAAGGCCGGTGTGAATGCCACAGAGGTCGACATTAAGAAAACGGCAGCCAGTGGTGATTTGGACCTCTTGACATTCTTATTGGAAGCTGGTGCTAATGCTGAGAAGCCTCGACACAAATATGATGACGGGACCGCACTACAGTGGGCAGTGAAAGGTGGCCACGAGGCTGTGGTAGATTTGTTACTCGCCAGCGGGGCCAATGTTAACGCCTGGGCGGCTCCATACGGTCCGGGTGGTACGGCCCTCCAAGTGGCCATTGGCGGTGGGCATACGGAATTAGCCAGACGGCTCTTGGATGAGGGAGCCGATGTCAATGCCTTACCTCGAAGAGAAGATGGCGATACTGCTCTCCAGGCTGCTGCGCGAGCGGGAAACCTCGACATGCTCGAGATTCTCTTAGCAGCTGGCGCGAATGTGGGTGTTGCAGAAACGCCAAGGTATCGTTGGCCGTTCATGTCCTACGCCTTGACTGTCGCGGCCGAGGCAAACCATCCCGAGATTGTGGCAAGACTGCTGGAAGTAATGTCTCTAGACGATGCTCGGCAAATAGCATCCATAGCCCTGCCGGAGGCGGTGAACACGCGCAACATCAGGCTCGTACAGCAGCTTCTCCAACTGCATCCTCACGTCGACATTTTGGACAGAGAACAACGGTCTACCGCGCTGCAAATAGCTGCAGCGAATGGGGACCTTGAGATTGTCAAGTTTTTACTGAAAGAGAAAGCCAACGTGATACACAATCCATCTGGAGGCAAGACCGCTCTTCAGTCTGCTTCGGATCGTGGCTTTCTAGACGTTGTGGAAACACTGTTGGCAGCGGGTGCCAATGTCAACGTGACGGGCTCTACAGCACCGCCACTTCTTCTGGCGATCCGGAATGGCCATATCAAGGTCTTTGAACGTCTCCTATCTGCTGGTGCACATATCGATGCAACATCATACCGAGGCCAGACTATGCTACAAGCCGCTGAAGATAGTGGGAGTACTAAAATGCAAGACCGGGTACGGGATATCCTCAAGTGCCGACCACAGCCGCTAGAGGAGCGACCTCCTGATCGAGGCACAGGACCGCTTTGCGAAGCATGTAGGAGAATGTCATTGATTGACTCGTTCTACGAAAGTACGAACGGAGTCCATGCTGGGAGTGCGGTAGACGATACGTCCACCTTGCATCCGTCTTTGATAACCCTCAAGGCGTCTGCAGTCGCAGGATGCCCTTTCTGCTGTTTCCTCTGGACAATTCTGGGCATCACAACAATTACCTTACCGCAACCCTCGCCGGTGACGCTCAAATTGCAAAGAAACGAGCCGTGCACCGTAAGGTGTGAAGTCAAAGAACCCTTCCCGACCGTTAATGCAATGAGGCTCGAAGCAGAATTTCACTTTGCAATCAATCCACTTCCGACTAAATTATCCATAATGACGATACTAGCACCAAATCGAAGTAGGTTTTCCTGAAAGACCGGTTTTTGCCATCCGATGTGCCCAAGTTGCTTACCTAGGTACCTACAAACATACAGAAAGCCGACGTCGAAGTAAAGGGCACAGAGTTCCTATCGCGGAAGATAGGGCCTCGCCTCAGACCTACATGCAGATTCGATCTTGGTTGGACACCTGCAACTCTAGACATCAGAAGTGCCGATTGCTGTCAGAAAAGCCGACTCTACCGGAAAAGCGAATCCTTCCCAGTCGACTTGTTTACCTAGCTCCGTCGAGAAATGCCATCTCTAGCAACGAAGTCGACATAAATCTCCAGCCGAGACTCGTCACTACCAACGGCCTGAAATTCTCGAAAACAAGCTACGTTGCCTTGAGTTATCGCTGGCCAGAGAACTTTCCTAGGGAAGCTAAATTGACTCAAGAGACTATGCAACTACAGATGGACGGGCTTCAAACTTCTCAGTTGCCACAGAATTTCATCGATGCTTTCCAAATAGCGGCAAGGATGGGCATCAAGTACATATGGATCGACTCTCTGTGCATCGTCCAGGATGACCAAGATGATTGGAAGCGTGAGGCATCTCTCATGGGTCAGATCTATCGAAACGCCTACTTGACCATCGCTATTGCTACCCCACTAACACAAGCCCATCTCGGCTTATTCCAGCGCCGCGGACCTTCCCCAGTCCCAGTCGAGAGATTCTATCACCCGATGAAGGATGGGCCAGAGCAGGAGATTGTGGTAATGGCCATTCAGAGAGAGCAAGAATTATTCTTTGAGAGTCCTCTTGTCTCTCGTGGCTGGTGCTTTCAGGAGCGAGAGCTTTCCCGCCGCATTCTCCACTACACTGCATCCCAGGTACTCTGGGAATGCCGTACATTCCGTGGTTCGGAGGGCTTGCCAAGCGGCATTGCGCCACACGAACAGTGGCTACAGAAGAAAGGGACTATCATAGAAAAGGAGTGGTTACCACGGATCCTGGACGTCGAATTGAGCGGTGAAAGCGTCGAGTATGTTTGGCACCGAGCCGTGGAGGATTATTCAGCGCGACATTTGACTATGGATACCGACAAGCTTCCGGCCTTGGCAGGTCTCGCTGCAATCTTGCACAATTACAGGCCTGGCAACTGTCGGTACTTGGCCGGCTTGTGGGAGGATGCCTTTGTATTGGGCTTGGCTTGGGCTTCAGGCTCTGGTACCTGGAGCGAAGCAGCTAAGAGCCAGCGTTACTCGGATTATATTGCTCCAACATGGTCATGGGCATCGGTGAAAGGTAGCATTTCGTATAAATTTGCACGGTCTTTCCACGTCAAGTCCAAATTCGGCCTGTCCGATGAGGACGGCAAACACGGCGAACACAGCGACTTTGGCCACGGAAACATGGACGATAAATACAGAGCTGGTCGTGTATACAAATTACGTGTCTTGGATGTTCACGTCGAACAGTCTACCGCTGATCCTTTTGGAGCCGTCAGACACGGGGCGTTTCTCAGGTGTGCCGCATGGCTGACGCCCGCTATAGTAAGACCACGGTGGAAGGGGAATGCTTATCTGCTCGACTCCATTCGTGGAGATTTGCACATTGGGAAGATGTCATTTGATCTGCAGCAAACATACGACGAGGACGGTGTGAGATTGGTGTCCTGTATCCTTTTGGGCCTGAAGCCTAGAGAAGCGTCTGCCTACGGAGGAACGGGTTTGGTCGTTATAGCTACAGGCAACAAGACCAATGAGTATAGGAGGGTAGGAATCATGCAATTTGAATATCCGTGGTGTGTCAAGGCGCCGGGTTTCCAGGCCATGGAAATCACCATCGTCTAGCGGAACTGTGTGGTACAAGTTGGTCGATCGCTTGGACTTGTACTCGGAACCATACTTGGAAGATGTAGGAAAATCAAATGTCTACGTGGTATTGAGTCACAACGAACTCGATTAGAGAGGAGAAGAAAGCGAGGTTTCTGAATCACCACCGATTGTGAAACAGTCGATACCTATGGCACTAAGGCTTCAAATGATACACAGCATCCGCCATTGCGAACAGCGACCGTTCCGTTGTATTATAACTCCTTTACTAAAGCAAAAAGAAAGCTTGCAGAATCATAGCTTCAAATCAAAAAAGCCGAAAAGTAATGAGGCACTCCGGATTTGAAGTTGAACAAATACTAAACGCCAAGCCTCACGGAGTACCTTTGTTTCGTACTGTGACGGGCTAAAGGGTAATCACTAGCAAAAGGCATAATTTAGGTAATTATAATGGATTTTGAATGAAGCCTGGTTAAAGAAGACAACAATGAAAGCAAAGAGGCTGAAGGTTCGTTGCTTTTCGCAAAAGGCAGCCCATTTGGTAGGAGGGTGATTATGTAAACCCTACATCAAAGCCCCGCTTACATAACAAACCACCAGCCGTTCACACGCACACATTCGCATATGAACCACATACGCCAACAACCAGACAACCAAAAATATTCCAATTTAATTACAAAAGATACTCAAAAGTATAATGAGGCACTCCGGATTTGAACCGAAAACCTTGAGGAGTCTCCCAAAGGAACGTTCGAACATTGAACTTCTGAGCCTTTGACTGGAATCTCACACGCTACCGTTGCGCCAGCGCCCCATTTTATTGGAGGACATGGTCGAAATATTGTACTATATTCACAAACTTTTTTGTGCGCGGAGGCTCCGCTCGGATGGAGCGGACTCCACGGGTGGAGAAGGGCGCAGGGTTAGGGGTTAATCACCAAAATGCACCGTCAGGGCAGGGTCTTTATCTGGTACCATTTGAAGTCTACTGAACTTTGTAGATTTTTCTTCTTGTTCTGCATATTTCACCTTGCATTGGGTCCTTAATTCCAATTTATTTACTTAATTGTGTGAGTAAGAAGGTGATGCTGCAGTCTTGGTCTTATACATGGCTTTGGACCACCGAAAGAAATCACCGACCAGAGCCGCATGCCACAAACCCCGCCCCGGTGAAGACCTGCACCTACGGAAGAACAGACTCTTGCTAGTTGATCAGTTTCCTTTACTTCAAGGAATTTTTTTTTAGTTTCAACCAAATCTACAGCATATAATGCCCTTCTAAGGCCCCCATACAGCATCGAAAGAAACCCTTGTTATTCACAGATTTCCGCCTGGAGATATTCCAACTGCAAAGGGCGCTTGGACGACGAGGGGGGACGCAAGAAAGGTTGCTTTGCGGATTACGTAGCTTCCCCCCCGACCACCACAGTTTTACCCATCCCCCTGTATTCTAAAAATATCATGTCACAGCTGAAGTCAGTATAGATAGTAGAGAGTCATTGAATCTTCAAGTAGTTGACATTTGAGCGGGCTAACAGAGCACGACTTTAGTGGAAGGTTACAAGTATAAGGGTAGGAATGCCATGCCAGTTTGCAATCGAGGATGGTGCCCCAACCTACCAGCCATAATTGCACTTCGGCCCCAATCTTCGACAGCCACACATATGATAATGACACTTGTAAGGCTTACAATTCCTTCAAGGGAAGAGCCGGGTTGAATGCATGCATGATATCTGGAAGAACTTGTCCATGGTTCGACTGCCTGTGGGGGCATCCGCCATCCCTCACGCCTGCTTCCAAAACAGCAAACCATAAGGTGCAGGACACACAGACTTCCAAAATCTATTCATTTTGCTCTAAAGGAGGACCCTCCATAGGTAGATGTACTGCTATATGAAGTACTTCACATCTCGATGATCACCGCGCCTGGCAGTGCCATCGAGCGTCCCATCATGCAGTATCGTCTCATCTTCCGCACTACTATAGGCACCCTCTCGCTACGCTCGCAGCTGTCGGCAATTCCTCAGTTGCCTTACTGCCTTGAATGTTCCCCACGGCGTGGGTCCAAAGCAAAGCCGTCAAAAGTAACTGACTGGTGTAGCACCTTCCTTAGACATTGTCTTCTCTAGCCCATGCCACAGTGTTCCCACTGCAGCCATAGTATCGTCAATCAACGCAGTAGTCTCCGCCAAAAGACCCAATGCAAAGGTTCATATTTGGCTGAGGTTCCCGACGATCCTGACGAGAGGGAGGCAAAACCGTATCCCGGGTCCGAGCGTCAACATTACCAAGCAATTTGATGTGTTGGAGCTTTTCAGACCAACACCGCCAGTCATTGGCCGCCCTATTCTCGCGGAAAATTGGCGGCACTTGTGCTCACTTTCCTCAATATCGCCGGCATGCGTCCAGTCTCCAATTCTTCTACCGCAGAATCAACAGCGTCATGGTCAATACCCTTCTCCTTCTTGGTGACCAGCAACCAGTGCCGGAACGGACCACGATTGGCACCCAGGGCTGCACCAAGCTCCATACATCTTTCGACATTATTATGCTCGCCGTGCATACGCGTGAAATGCGTAACCATCTTACTGATATCACGTAGGGGCCAGTGACCGGGCTCGGACGGCTGCTTCGGTGGTGGCGCGTTTAGGTATTTCTGCGAGGTACACAGACGACATCGCCAGCCGCCCAGGCGCTTAAACTCATTACCAGCGGGGCCATCATAAGACGCAGAGCCTGCTGAAAGTGTTGGGACCACAGGCGCGGATGGCGTACCATAAGGGGTAGCCAGACCAGAGGGAGCGAGCCTCGTAGATCCTGCGAATGATGGCTGACGGCTTGGACTAGGGCCGAAGGTCGTATGGAGTTGCATCTCTGTATCCTTCAAGTCTTGGTCGTTTTCCCGAATACGGCTTACAGAGTTGCCCGCCGCGTTGATCACATTTTGGGCAGACTTCTCATCGGTCTCTAGATTGTTGCTCATAGGAGTCCCCACCTGTACGTCGAGGCGAGGGCGCTTGCAAGGAGGCTCACCATCTGCTGCTACGGAAAAGCTCGAAACTGCGCCGTTGGCTAAATCATCATTCTGTCAGTGAGATCATGGTTGCTACTAGCGATATCCAAATAAAGGTTCGGAATTCATGAAACCTTGGACTAATGTCGCCCACAATGACAAAAAAGGGTCTCACTCACGAGGAGCAACGCATATCTCTGACGGGTTGTCTCTCTTAGCACCAGCCGTGGCCAGAGCAGCAGCAGATGCTAGCGAAGACGCCTTCACCGAGTTGTTTGGAGGGACTGACTGCGGGTCCAGAGACGGCCTAGGGCGATTCTTAGACCCAAGAGGGCGTCCGGGGCCACGGCGCTCCTGGGGATACTCAGGGTATGCTGAATAGGCAGCAGGTGACTGCATCATGGACATTCCGGCACTCGGGCCTTGACCGTAGTGGCCATTGCCGATCGGGGTTGGGCCGGCACCAACACTGTAGGCACCTGGCTGAACACTTGTGCCCGGAGGGTATGGGCCCCAGTACGCATTAGAGGCGGCAGCACCAACTCGACCAGCCATATTGTTATGAACTCGCGAGTTCTGCATGGCAGCTTCCATCAGCTGGATGCGGTGGTTGAGCATGCGCATCTGATGGCCCAAATCCAGAATGCGCAGTTGAAAGGTGCGAATTTCAGCGGGGGTTATGTCCGAGGCGTTGATAGGGTCCAATTGAGCGCGAGAAAACTCTAGATCATAGCGGTAGGCATCCAAGTCCTCACGCAGCTGCTGAAGAACAAGATGGTCGATGCTGATGGGGGTATTCTCGATGTTGATGTGGCTGTGATCAACAGAGTCATGGACTTGAGGACTGGCCGACCGGTCATTGTTGATGGCCTGAGCTGGATCACTACTGCCAGCATTGTGGCCATTCTGAGCGGAGACTATACTCTTCTCACCATTTTCCGCGTGCTCAGCGTGCTCCTGAGGAGTGGCTGGACGGAGAGGGTGGGCCATGTTGGGAGGCTGGCAGAGGTATTAGTCTTGGTTGCAAATCGAAATTATATGGATTTTCTTTTAAGTCAATCAAAATGAAAATAAGAAGTCTGCGCCTGTAAACCAAGCACTTGAAATGCTTTGGCTGTGAAAATAGCTCTTACCTCTCCGAAGAACTGGTCAGCGAATTGAGGATTGCCACCAAGTAGGGCACCAATAGGCCGTTCCGGATGGGTATCTTCGTGGACACTCTCTTTCTTGCTAGCGGGCTGTTGAGATGGAAGGCTGACCTCAGGAGATCTGTCACTTTTATTGGCAGGAGATGATCGTGAAGTTCGTCGCCGTGGTGGCATCTTTGGTGGAAAAAGAAAAGAAAAAAACCCCCAAGTGTTGCTGCAGAAGAAACAAGGGCAGTGCTGAAATGGCCCTTCAGAGCATGCAGCTATGAATCGAGAGTTGCTGCTCTATGCACAGCTCACCTTTCAGCTTGACCAGACCATGAAAGACGTCAAGGTGCTAAATATGTGCTTTAGCAGAGCTACCTAGGTAGGTAGAGGGGTTAAAAGATATGGTGATGATGCTGAGTGCTCCGTGTGTAAGTGGAGATGTTGGTCAGAATCGCCTAAAAGCGGCTCCCAAGACGACAAGCTTTGTTGATATCGATGGTCAGTTCCCTGGATGAGGGAAACCAGACAAAGTGGATTGTGTTTCTTGTCGTTGGTTGTTGTTGATCGTTGGTTTATGAGCGAGGTGCAATGAGTAGTAAAATGGTAAAGGATTTTCTTTTTGGGATAGAAGAAAAACGTTTGGGAATTTCCAGGATTGTTCAGGTCAAATGGTAGAAAAGACAGATTATTACCGGGATCGTTCTTTCTTTCTTCCTTCCTTTTGAGCCAGTCAATGTGGAAGAGTCCCGATTAGAACAGCTGCTTTTTCAAGGTGGGGTGGTCCAACTTCTTTCCTCCTTTTGCTGTTTGCAGCCCCACTTTTTCGTGATATTCCTGCTCCAACAAGGGAAAAAGTGCCTCAGGGGGGAAGAGAAGGGGGAGGGGGATATTTGGCCGACTTACACGCTCTCTCTCTCTCTCTTCCTTTCTGTCTTTTTCTCTTCCTCTCAAGGAGTATCCAGATCTTGAAAGTAGAACGGTCAGCATATTGTGAGATATAATTCGTTATTGGAAAAGAAAAAAGAGCAAGTGTATCGAACAGTCTGCTTGCTATATGGCCAAGGCCACAAATTCGGAGGCAATGGAAGTGCTGGGCCTCCTGAAGAGATAAACAGGGAGGGGGGGGAGTTTATTTGCTTGCAGCTTGCCTAGAAGGCCGGCCACTTGACCTCGTTCACCTATCATAAGCTACTAGTTGATATACTCCGAAGCCTTAAGTAGTTGTGTATAAGGCTTATACATGGTCCAGCTCTTTTAAAGAAATCGGTGAATTCGCTGAAAGACCAGAGGAAGATGGGAATGGATACAGTCTCCTCCCCAACTTCCTGGACTAACCTGGAGAACACCTATGGGCACATACAATTGTTGCAAAAAGTATAATCAAAAAAGGTGTATGCACTATTGACAGACCCCCTTGTATTATCGCTTGTCACAGTTTGTCGCCGATATAATATTTGATATGCGCCAGATGATGCCTTTGCAGGGTGTCGTGCGATGGGCGATCACGCATTCAGTTGACGATAGAATTTGGTGGAGGACAAATGATGATGATGATTTGAAAAGAGAAAAAAAAAAAGTCAGGTTTCATTTGTCGTCAGGTGGGTCGGGGAAAAAAACATATTATCTAGGGCCCAGCGAGCTTGAGAAATTGTTAGGGAAATTAAA